ACGAAATCGAAACGATATCAAAATAAATTTTCCTTAATTAGTTTTCTAATATTCTTAGAAAAAGTATAATTATTCAATTATATTCATTAAATACACGGTGATATCATATGGAACAGTCTTCTATGTAACTTTTCATTTTTATAAATTCTTAATAAGTTATCAGAAATGGAATATTCTGTTCGTCACAAAATATGAACAAGGTATTTCATGATTTTATTTATTAATATAATCACTTATATATATTTTCTTAAATATTATTAATTATTAGAAAAAATTAAGATATTTCTGTGGAAATAAAAAGTCGTTATTATTAATAAAGATTAAGTCTGAGATGTTGAAGATCCCAAGTTTTTTTTTAATTGATATAAAATTTTTGTCAAAATAAAATTATACTTTAGCAAATATTTACGTTAAATTAATTTGATTTTATTATTATATATATAATTGTGTTAATTAATTAAAAACTATTTTAATTAATTATAATATAAAGCATAAAATTTTTATATATAAAATTAATGGGTTCTGAAACGAAGCATTAATAGAAACCAAAGAACAATATGAAATATCAATTCAATAAACACAGGATGCTATTGGATAAAATGTATATAGAAGTCTTCTGATTGGCTAACAACACGGTAGCTCATTCATCCTTTCTCCGTGAAAATAGTATTCAGTATATCAGTTGCCGGAGTTCAACTCGGATGTTTTGGCAGCTGATTTTATTCTTGCTTACGTCGATGGTAAAAATATTTTGAAGTTTTAACTATTCATGCTATTTGGGGAATCGCTTAGTGTCGTGAATGAAATTTTGTGAAATACTATTGATAGTAAGTAAATAGAAATGTATAATAAAGTTTCTTGCTTTATTCGGGAAGTAGCGAACGATGACGTCATGTGTTGAGCATAAGCTGTTTTCACCTTGTTCCGCTACAACAGTATTTCGCGGGTGCAGGTGTAATTCATTTCTTTTCCTATTGAAATTATATCGAAATTTATTGAGTATCAAAACAAAAAAAAAATATTCGCATTGATCTCTTATTTCTTTCATAATTCTTAGGCACATATGAAGACTACATAAAAAAAAAATGTGTCAGTGTACTGTTTTTACCTAATTATGATATTTGTGAAATAATTTGATTGTTTTTGATACATGTATATAATGTAATTGAAAAAATCAAATATATAAATCAATCAGAGGACGTTTAAGAAAATTTATAGTATTAGATATAATACTTATATTCTTTGATTGTTTTTTTATACAGGTGCAAAATATATAAAATAAACGGATATATATTAGTGTTTTGATTACTTAATAAACTAAAAGATTTACAATGGATTCTGAAGAGGAAACATATGATGATGTTGATTCTGGCAATGAATCTAGTGGAGATGATGTAGATTTTGCAATGGAAATTGAAGCTGGAAATCCAAGAGAACGATCAACAGATGTTGATGATTATCCTTTTGAAGTTTTATCAACAGAAGAAATAGTGCAACATATGGTTGATTCTATTAAGGAAGTTAATACAGTTGTAGAAGTATGTTGAAAAACATTTTGTTTTAAAAAATAATCTAATCATTTAATTAAAGTATAAAAATATATATCCATATATATAATTCATATATTTTTCTTTAATTTAAACAAAGAAAATAATTATTATAATTATTAAAACATTATATTATTTAATTATAGATACCAGCTACAACTACACGTATTTTATTAAATCATTTTAAGTGGGATAAAGAAAAATTAATGGAACGCTTTTATGATGGTGATCAGGAAAAATTATTTGCTGAAGCACGAGTTGTTAATCCATTTAGGAAGGGTCCATTAATAAATAGAAATCAATCTTCTCAAAGCTCATTGGTAAATAAGATTTTATACTATTTAGCCAAAAAAATTATATAAAAAATAAATGATTTAGATATATATTAACAATATATATAAAATTTTTAGTCCAGAAGAACTTCAACAAATGGTACTGAAGAATGTGGAATTTGTTTTACGATTCAACCATCTGCAGTATGTATATAAATACACATATTATATAAATACTATCATATGAAATAACAATACAATTAAATTATGATTTAAAAATATTTTTTCATGTTATTTAAAATAATTAAAAAAAATTTAGATGATGACTGGACTTGAATGTGGACATCGTTTTTGTACTGGCTGTTGGGGAGAATATCTTACAACAAAAATTATGGAAGAAGGAGTTGGTCAAACAATTGCATGTGCAGCACATGCTTGTGACATTTTAGTTGATGATGCCAGTGTTATGCGTCTTGTAAAAGACTCTAAAGTGAAACTGAAGTATCAACATTTAATAACAAATAGTTTTGTTGAAGTAAATATTATTTTGTCTGTTTTTATTTTATTATAGATTATATATTAATATTATTTATTATTTTATTTTACAGTGTAATAGGTTATTGAGGTGGTGTCCATCTCCAGATTGTAATAATGCTATAAAAGTACAGTATGTAGAAGCAAGACCAGTAACTTGTAAATGTGGGCATACATTCTGTTTCCATTGTGGAGAAAATTGGCATGATCCTGTAAAATGTCATTTATTACGTAAATGGATTAAAAAATGTGATGATGATTCTGAAACATCAAATTGGATTGCTGCAAATACAAAAGAATGTCCAAAATGTAATGTCACTATTGAAAAAGATGGTGGATGCAATCATATGGTGTGTAAAAATCAAAATTGTAAAACTGATTTTTGTTGGGTATGTCTTGGGCCTTGGGAACCACATGGTTCTAGTTGGTATAATTGTAATCGTTATGATGAAGAAGAGGCTAAAGCAGCAAGAGATGCTCAAGAAAAATCACGATCTGCATTACAAAGATATCTATTTTATTGCAATAGATATATAAATCATATGCAATCTTTAAAATTCGAAAATAAACTTTATGCAAGTGTGAAAGAAAAAATGGAAGAAATGCAACAGCATAACATGTCATGGATTGAGGTAATAATACTTATAATTAAATTAAAAAATATTAATTATTTATAATCAATTGCAAAACAACATTTTATAAAAAAATTATTTTTAGGTACAATTTTTAAAGAAAGCAGTAGACATTTTGTGTTCCTGTAGACAGACTCTTATGTATACTTATGTTTTTGCTTATTACGTGCGAAAAAATAACCAATCTGTGATTTTCGAGGATAACCAAAAGGATTTAGAAGGTACTACAGAACGTCTCTCTGAATATCTTGAACGAGATATTACAAGCGAAAATCTTGCTGATATTAAACAAAAGGTTCAAGATAAATATAGGTAAGTTATTAATTAATTATTTGTTTTTTTTTCTTATATGTTATAAGTATAATACATTAACATTAAGAATTAAATTTAAAAATATATAAATACTAAATATATATTATTTTTATTTTAAGATATTGCGATAGTCGAAGAAAAGTGCTTTTGGAACATGTACATGAAGGTTACGAAAAAGATTGGTGGGATTACGTCGAATAGAAATCTAAACCAACTTCGTTTTTCGGGCATGCAAGACAAGATTTCTCTCTTGATACTTTTGCCCTACCTGTGATAAATCAAGAAAGCTGACAGGAAATAAAAATAGAGCATGTCACCAAGTGATTTACGTGTTAGATATACTTTAAATGTAATATGATCTGTGGCAGCACATATATCGTTATGAATTTTTAAATTTATTAAAATTGAATCCTATTACCATCAGGCTAAATGTAAAATACTTCCGTATTAATTAATGATAACTAATTTGCGCTTGCTGTGTGCTATTTATCGTTACATGTTTCGATCCTTCATAAACATGCCTTGCAATAATATTTTCAAGTTTCGAATGAATTTTATATATAAACATGTCAGATGATAAATGGTGGTAAAGAAATCGAACAGTGTGTTGCTGTACTAAACAAAAATTTATCAAAAATTTGCTTAATATATTTTAATGCCATAGTATAATGATACATTATACCTTTTCATATTACTATAAGATTCTCTAGAAAAGTATTATTTAGTCTATGGACAAAAACTTTTCAAGAGTTCTATGAATAGTACATGAAAAGGCTAATATAGAACTAGACTACCTTAATCTGTCTTTTATTGTCAGTCCTGTGCACTCGATTTATAAGGGAATAATTGAATATAACAAGATACTGGTGCAGATAATATTCATAACATGTCTTACCATTTTTGCTCTGTTTTGGACAGTAATACGTCCAGGCTATAACTGCCAATCTTTATGAAAAACTGAATTAAAATGATCATGTCGTCAGTATCGTGTGCAATATCTAAATCAAATTATATTTCTTTAGCTCTTACTTTATTTTTCTCTACATATTATTTGAATAAAATCTTTAAATTTTATTCAAAATATTTTATGTATCTGTAAAAAAATTAAAAAGTGAAAATTGTTTTAAAAGTATAAAAATAAAGATATTTAAAATATTAATAAATTAAAACAATATTTTCTTGCTATGTAATTAGTTACTCTAAAGTCAAGCATGCAAAATATTAAAAGGGTCCAATATTCAAAAATTCATAATGTACATTATTTAATTTTGATATATTGAATGATAAGAAATTGAATTTATTAATATTATGTATACTTGAATCATTTTTAAAGATAGAAGATAAATATAGCGAATATGTTTGTTCATTTCTTTGTTTAAAATACAGAAAAAGATCGATTTTTATTTTTTATATAATTGTTGTTTCTTTAAAAATTTATTTCATGTTCAGTGAGAGATATTCTCATAATGCTGACGATATGTTTGATATGTCATTAATCAAATAATTAATGATTAATGATTGTGATATGATGATCACTTGCTGTTATATAAGTGGGGAACGAAATGAGTTCCATTTGTACAGTTATATAGTTATATATTCACACGTAAATGCATAATACATACTTATATAAATAGTTGTAATATCAATATTAGCAAACTTAAAGTAGAAACATTTGAAGTTTTATTAAAAAGAATTGTTGATTCTTATTATTATTCATGTTAGGTATAAAAATTAAAAAAAAAAAAAAAAAAAAGAAAAAAAAGAAGAAAAGACAATTGTTTTCTGTACAGTCACAAGATCTGAGTAGAAGTAAGACTATTGTTAGATATATTCATAACAAATTATTTTTGAGTTCATGATTTTGTATTGTATGTTCATGTGATGCATAAAATTATAAACAATAGCGAAAAAATTATCTTTTTTTTTTATATATCAAACATAAAAAATATTTTAACAAGTTTAAACAATTTTGTGTGAATATCGATTATCGATATTATTATAATTCCTTCAAATCACCATGTATTTATTAAGATTTGTGCGATAAATTTGAGTAGTTGATATTTTAATTATTAAACATATCCCAAAAAAATAATGACTTTAGATAGTCCTAAAACTTCGATAAAAACAAGGATTTGATAAAAATAACGGTATTACTCGAAAAGCGAATTTTCGGTTTAGAAATTTTTAATAATTTCTAATAATTGATGATATGTATAAAGAAATTGCGTAAAATATTTTATTAGCAAAATATATTAATAGTAAAATTGTGTTTAATTTGCCAATCTAAATGGCATATTTTACACTCGAATTATATTATTTATATTATTTAAAAAACAAAGAATACAGAATATATTATAGATACTCTTTCACACATGCAATTATACTAATCATGTATTTTAGAAATTTTTGTGGTTTGAACTTACATTCTGGTATCAAGTAATAAATCAATATATTTTGAGTAGTACGTAGATTGTATTTACGTTTGAATAAGTATGCTATTTTAAATAAAATAATACATAACACATATAAACAAATATATTTAAAAATATAATTGTTTTTAAAATTAACAGTGACCTTATTTAATATCTACTTATTATTTTTTAAATATATTAAAATTTTATATTTTTTATGACATATTTTATTAATATTGATAGCACTTATTATGTATTATCGAGTAATACTAATAATTAATATGATTATTAAGTCCATTAAAGCATGAAAATCCTTAATGGCAATCTTTGACTGAATAATTTATTATAAAAATCAGCTACTTGGATTTAAACATCTAGCCTCCTTTGCATTTGCTAATGTTTATATTTAAAAAATTGGAAATATAACAACTATTAGATATCTTATTCTTTCATACAAAATATGCTATCAAATACTTATGTATTATACATATATAAAATATTGAATTTATCACATTTTGCAGATGATTTTCTTATTATAGGTTTAAAAAATAATTGATGAAACTAACAAAACTGAGGTTTCATGAAAATGTTTATTATTTCTGAATATTTGTATAAAAATGTTTGCTATGTCATTAGAATCTATCATTGTTGTTTAAAAATGTTATTATATTTTAAAGAGAATTGTTATTTTAATTTTTAAACTTTCAATAAGTTCTAAGCATAGATTATGATGATCTTTGATTGATAAAAAAATTTATTAATATATTTTCTACCTAAAATAAATTATAAATAAATACATTTAGATTGTTTCTACCTAAATTCAATAGAATTTTGAGATTCTTGTTTGATATAAATATCTGAAACTTCAATTTTGAGTATTGCATGAAATTACTTTGATAAAATTTCTAAATTAATATTAAATAATTTTTTTCTTTAATTTAATCTCTAATCCATCAAGCTGCAGTTGTTATAAAATATGAATATAATAGGAAACTTGTATCATTATCATTTGCTTATGTTACATATTTGTTGGAGTTATATAAAAAGTGGGATGATTCTAAACTGAATGACATTGATATGAAAATTGTGCAGACTGCAAATTGAAACTTAATTTACATCCTGTACTTATTATAAGTTATCTTTCAAATCATACAATTTCACTTTTTGTGCCAATAAAACCATTATGTAAGCTTCCAGAAATTATTTTTAAAACTATTTTGGTAAAACATAAGTACACTGGAAGATCTTACATAAAATATACTTTTGTAAATTAATTTTTAAGGGTATATCAGGAGGTCACTGTTAAAATAGTTGCAACCAAACCAAGTGTAGCACCTGTCATTATAAGACTTCTCCAAATTGCTCCACTTATTTCTTCTGCCACAGGATATTCTATACACAGTTGCTCCTAAAGAAATATGATACATGCATATATCAATGTAAAAAGTAAATTATTTGTTTATGTGTCCAAAACATAATTTCTATGTATTCATATTTTTTACATTAGAAAACATAGTATTTACCCATCCTCCATATCCTTTGATAAAATGTGCAACCTTTTCACCAATAAATCTGGAGACATATAGTGGTAATTTTTTCTTTAAAGCGTGCATTCGTCTATCCCGAGCCCAAAGAGCGAGTCTACCCATAAATGCATATAGACAAACGATTCTTGCCCATGTAACTCCACCATGTAAAAACAGTTCATCCGCTACTCCCATGAATGCCTCGTATGCCGTATCCGGTACAACATTCAAACGATTTACCATACTCGCGAATAGAATACTATGCTTATTCAACATTTGATACACATTGTGTCTCATACTACGGGAAACTGGATCTCGAGATATAAGATAAATATCTTCCTTAAGTAGGTACCGTATTACATCGTTCGCCAAACATTCTGCTGTAAGCTCTATGGAATCTTCACAAAGTCTATATCGTGAAGATGAAATCAATTGCGGGAAAAGATGTTGCAGTCGAATCTGAAAGAACGATTCTTTTAATATAAAGTAATAACAATCTTTTCAAGAAAAATATATATATATATATATATATGAGAAAACGGGAATAATGTAATTGAACGATTAACGGTGCTTCGTTCTCATTATTTGAAACATCGAATATAAATGTTTTTCTATATCAACAATATTGTTATTCATATAACATTGAAATGATAAACAATGAAACATTATAGAACGTTATAGAAATAACAAGATTAATTTTGAAATTTAATTTTCGTTACGTATTGATTTTCTCACTAAAATGTGACAATAGCTTTAACTTAAATAAAAAAAAGAAAAATGAAATATACGCAAAAGAGAAAAGCGCGAAAAAAATCGATAGAATAGAAAAAGACGAATACAGAATTCACTAACAACTGTAAGTTAAATTAGAAAGAACATAATGCCGGTATTCATATATTGTTACCTGACAAACTTCGATAAAGGACATAGCGGTATTGACAGTGCTGAGAGCATATCGGCATAAAGCGCCGTTATCGCCGGCAATCACGGTTTCAACGCCTCCGCTGTTGTTACAGTCGTCGGCAATCACAGTTTCACCGCTTCCGTCGGCGCAGTCGTCGTTGTTACAGACTCGCTCGCTCGGCGAATTCTTGTTACCGGGGGGATCGCATTCCAGGATGCCGCCCACTCTGGAATGCGGTTCCCCCCGCACTGACGCACCCTGCCCCTCTCCGTCTGTACTGAGGATCTCATTGTTCGGCGATGCATCGTCGTCGCCGGCCATCCTCGTGCACGACCGCCCGCACTGATCTCTTTGAGACACCGGTCGAAACACCGCGACTCTCACTAGATCAGATAGTCGTACACTACACAATTTTTGCGAATTGAAATTCTTTTTTTAAAACATCTTGCAACTTGTCTTCGTGAGTCTAGTGAACTGCCGATCGCACGCTCGAAGCGCCGGGTTAACGAGCGCTACACACGAAAAACTTTGGCTCGCCTGCCAGACGACGTAACGCTCTCTACTTTCCCGCGGCCATTTCCGAAGCCGAACCTTTAACCGCACCCCACTTCTCTGTCTGCTATATCCCCACTTTGTCTTTTCTTTTCCCACCGCTTCACTACTATTCCATTCCCTTCCATCTGTATATTACATTCTATGGACCAACACAAGTCTTTTCGAGAGACACACAACGGTATCGGCTTCTATGGATCATTCACGTTTTCTCCCCACCATTGACCATTGGCGTATTCCGGCACGCGGTCCACACTATTATACGTTGCCCTACACGACCTCATAAGACACCTACGTTTAACTATACTGTCCACCTTATATTTGTGTGTGCGACTGAACTATCTCCTTTCCATCTCCACCTTCGTTTCTATCCTCTCTTCTTCCTCCTCTCTTTACTCTCCTTCTCAGTGAGGCGCCGTCGATAGTCTCCCTCCCCTCAAAGAGTGCTCTCGCGCACGTGCACGGTCACAAGCGCGAATACCTGTGTGCGCTCTGAGAATCGAACGAACGGAATTTTCGATGGAACGCGGAGTTCGCTTGGTATCAAGCACCGTTCCCAGCCATATTCTTGCAGCTATATTATTCAAGTGAACTATTTATTGAATGATTAATTCATTATAATTATAATTAGTTTAAGATATTTTTTTATTATAAGAAAATTTATTTATTATATCCTGATATGATAATAGTAAATATATATTGATTTATAGTTACAATTAATACATTATAATAATATAATATTAATAATAAATTAAATTTTATAATGTGATAATGTAATCATTAATATTTTAAATTTAACATTGCATTGTTTTTTCTAAAATTTAAAATAATTTAATTATTTATATTTATATTATAAAATATATCAATTATTTACAATTCTTTATATATATTTATTAATAAATATATATAGTTTAATATAAATTATTTGTTAAATATTATAACACATTTTAATATAATATATAGTAATAGCTTTGTTTAATTTCATTCAAGAATAAAAGTAATAGAAGTCATGCATTGATTTCAAGAAATTGCAACATTTATAGCGATCGCCGTATGCCGGTTTGCTCAGTGAAAGCCACGTCACAGTTGCTAACCTAAAGGTGACGTAGAGATTGTCGGACGGGGATGACGATACTATTCCAGTAATTGGTAGTTTCCCATTTCATTGACGCCAAGCTTCCTGTTATTATAACTTTCTGATATATAGTTGTATGGATCATAATTAATATTGTTAATATTATAATTGATATCATAATTAATATTGTTTGTCTAAATTTTAATTTTAGAATTTTCAGAAGATAATTTTCTTTTCAAGCATTTTATAAGATTTTCTTTTGTATTAGAATATATTATAATATATATAATAATATTATATATATTATAATATTATAATATAATTGAACGTTTTACAAATATTGTTTATAATATTAAATAATATTTAATGTTTCTTATTTATAAAAAAGCCAAATTTAATAATTTTTCATTTTTATTATATATATTATAAAAAATCTAAAATCTGAAATGAATTATAAATTTTAGATTAAATATATTTTTATCAGCTTAATTGTAAGATTAGTATATAATAATATTAGTATATAACATAATCGTTTACATGAAACTTCTTAAAAAGATACAAACCATATGGGAAGATATTCGTATTATTCGATTCATATGTAAGTACAATTTATATTTCGGATGCTGCAGAATGTAGTGGTAGTTATGATGTATTTCTGAGAAGGAATTATTATGTTGAAACTGGTCGGCACGCCGGCTGACTCTGATCGGTGGCGCGCGACCGTGCCCGCTCTTTTCTGTCTGTGCAACCTTCAAAGGCCACAGAATGTCGATGAATGAAGTAGGAAAGTTGCAGAGTGGCGGCCGACCGGATGTGTATACTAGGTGGCCAAGAAAATGAGAGCTCCTACGTCATTCGACGACGAACTAGTTTTGCGCCCCTTCTCAATGATGTGATGCTCATAGACATATTATCGATAATTATCGTATTTTTAATAAGTTGATTTTAGCACATTTTTGTTTATCATATGAAATTTTTTTGTTTTTTGAATTATAAAAATATTATAAAAATTTATTATAAAAATACTTTTATTATTTTATTTTTATTATTTTATACGATATAAGAATCTAAAACAAAAATTTATAATTAATTGTAACATAAAATAGAATATGTTAAGAGTTGAATAAATAAGAAAAAAAATGAAATGATATATGTAATTTTATGTAATTTAAATACCAGAATTTCAACTGCTTTTGATGAGAATTGTTTAAAATCTTATCTGTTCCATTTCCTTCAATATACAATGCAAAAAGTAGTTCTATATTTTCTTTCTTAAAGTTGTTATTTTGATAAAAAATATTTAAAAAAATTTTAAAACACACTGAAAAATCAAATATGATTCTTAACCAAGAAAAAATTAAAAAATAATAAAAATATATGAGAAATACTTTCCATTACATATTCATTACATATAAACACAGATCTTTTTTACAAATTAATGATTAATTTAAATTTATTTTGATTTTTAATTTTGAATTTTAAATATTTAATTTTTGAAATCGAAAATTTTTACTGATGGAGACTATTATAAGCTATACGATAAACAATTTTTCTTAACCTAAATTTATAAGTGTAACATTTATTAATATTATATATTATATATTTATTATTCAAAATGATTTACCTTTTTATATCAAATATGGATAATCATACACATAAGACATTAATACTTGGCAACCGGACATGAATAAATTGACGATATGAGTCACGTGTAAATGACATCTAATTGGGTCATTATCTCACAGTTGCTTCTTAAAGTCATAAGAAACGCAATAAAAAGCTTTATGGATTGTCAACGTTTCGTACAAATTTTTTAAAATGAATGTTAAGAAAATTTTAATAATATAAATATTTTGCATTCTTGCATTTCACATAAACTATTATTCGCAGTCTCTTTTTGGTTATAACAAAAATATCGTATACATACTCTGCCATCTTATTATTTTGTTTCTTTGTTATCTCACAGCACGTCGCGCATATCGTTTGTCTCTCTCGATAACCTATCTGCTCTCGAATTACCTTAGATTGGTAACAATTGTATTTTATCCTTCTCTGTCTTATTAAAATGTCAGATTGTTGACAAACACATCACTATTGCGACATCCGTCGTGAAACAACCACGTGTCTTGACAATGGTTGAACCGATTGAAAATATTGTTTTATATTGTTTTCTCTTAGCGAAGTGGACCGTGGGAATACAAGTGAGTGAGCGGCACACAGTATTTCAGGGGAACTCGTGGCAACCGGCTCTCGGTAGCTTTTCTTACCATCATTCATGATACTATGGTACGGCAATAGGATGATTGCCTGATGCCTAAAGTGGATAAAGTCTTCTATAGTAATTTAACTCGAACAGGGTACAGGGGTGTGTTAGATAACCAGCCTTTTACATTTTACTATCACTGAGCTGTCCTAACGACGAACCATGTTTGACCTCTACGTCCAAAAATATGTTTACTCATCATTTCTTTTACTTCAAAGTTCAAATTCGTAATGTTGATTAGTTACCAAAAGCAAGGTTATGTCAATACAATATTAGATTTTATCTAATATCTTTTCGAGAAATTTAGTAATATATCAAATTCTGTATGTTAAAATTGTTAAATTATATAAAGTTTTTTTTAGTAAAGATATTGTTATAAATTTATGTTCATAAAAGAAAAATTTTAACTTATAATAAGCAAATAATCAAGCGGTTAATAAGTTCGCGGTTAACCTCTTTGTGGATAATTTTGACAAAAATACGTTTTAGCAAACATAAATTAGTAAATTAGTAAATCTGAATGAAAAACTATATATAATATTTTCTTAATATAGAAGATTTTTTAAATAAATAGAATTCATAAATTTTATTTCACTATATTAGATTTTAAATACTTATAAAATCTATAAATGAGATTTTTATAATTAGTTCGATAAGGATTATACCACAATCATTTAAATTATTTCATATATCATTTATTGATTTAATAATATATTGGAGAAACTATTTCTAATCATTATATTCTTATTAGGTAAAATATTTTTGTTTGAATTAATAAGAAAAAGCAACCTTCTTAGAGTTAGATATATCTATTACATTTTATCATTTACAGACAAATGGCGCACTTGAGATATATCATTTAATCTTTTGCTACGTCTCTTTTGTAATATAATGCCTTACATTATATTAAACCGAATCAAACAGACTTTAAGTATGTATAATTCGTAATAATTTAATAATAGTAAGTTAACTTATTTGAAATTTTTTTTTCAGTAATAAAATTATTTGAAAATCAAAACTATTGTTATTAAATTAATTTAAGATATACTCTATAATATAAATATTATAATAGAAGATATAAGTATAAATATAAATGTATATCTTATAAGTAATAATGAGAATTAAGTAATAAATTGAATTCTAATAAATTTTATTTTGAAGCATGGGAAAATTAAAATTAATAAAATATTAAATAATAACCAATTGTATGTATTTACTTTTTTCAATTTATTAAGGTAACTTAATAAGTTTTGCTTAATTTTTATCGAAAATATCTTTTCTTTAGTTATGGTTTACTATAGGATTATAATTCATATTCCTTTATTAAGAACTATTATATCATTTCTAGTAACACATGTGTTGTTATGTGAAAATTTTTCTTTTTATAAATATTCTAATATGTAAATTTATATGCATTGTATTAAAATAATCTGTGTCCGTTTCTCATCCGGATTCAAACAATTGTAGAGGTTGGACTCTTCAATGACCTGTTTCTCTCTCATGATTGCTTCTCTGTCGGATACGCATAACATTAAATAATCACGACAAGATAGTAAGCTCAAACAATTAAAGAGTTCTATGCTTAGGAAAATTGAATCAACGTTGGGATCGTTTCGCGTAACGTTTCACTAATTGGATCCTCGGATGTAATTTCATTCGTTTGTTTTATTGGACTCTATCAAGAAGACAATGTACGATAAAAATTAAAGCAATATGTGTTATAGTAATATATAAAATGAATAAATACAAAACAAATTGATAAATTGATTATCAATTTTGTATAAATTAATACATTAATATTGAAGATAATATGGTCAAATAAATTTAGGAATATTTAAAAAAAACGTTTCATAATATATATATTTATTAATGACTTACAGATAGAACAAAAGGAAGATCAAAAATTAATAAAAGAAATAAAAAAAAATTTGAATGATAATTAAGAATCACAATTTTCTATTTTTGATCATT